AATTATTGTACTGTTTTCCACCACTCTTTCAAGTTTTTTTATTATTATTATAGTCAGGAAGAAAATCCATTAAAAAGAGAAGAACAAAATATGATCATAACACAAATCATATTACAAATGCATGTTTCTTGTGGCGTCTTTGGTGCCTTTTGAGTTTGGTTGCTTGTTTGTATATGTTACTTTACCCAACTAGGTAAACAACATCACCAGTGTGACTAACAGTAAGATTTAACAGTAAGATTTACTCCACGTCTGAAAGTAGACAGCTAAGCTCAGAGAGCAGCCAAGAACTCCATACTTCAACCCTGAATGACATATTTACTCTTCTGTTATTTCTTCTTGCAGGCTAATTACATCTCCACTGAGAGGTTTTCCTTTGCCTTTATGTTGTTAACATGCCAACTGAGAGGCAGAAAGGCAATTCCAAAGCAGAGAAGCCACCTCGTAGGTGGTACATGTCTTACTTTTATCCATCTTCTTCTTGAGAGACCTCTTGTGACTTGCCCTCAGACCTATCTTATGTCTAACTGGGATATGTTAAATGGGCACATCTAAGATATATACTTGAAATATTTACTCAATATATTTCTTGATATATATTGATATACTTGATATATTTCTCATGGAACCTTCATGGATCAGTGTGGTACCAACAAAACAAAGTCAAAATTTTGGAGCCATAGAATGCTGTATCTTCAAACCAACTAACAATCCAACATTTTTTGATTTTCCATGCTTGACTATTTTCATCATAAGTGGCATTTTGTCCAATGAGCCATATTTCTGTAAAATCTTGTGTTTTCCATTAATGTGACCCCATAAAAGACTCTGGTCCTGGCTTTACTTCTGCAATGCTACGCTACAGAGTTTAAGGTTCTCTTCTCCCTTTCCTTGATGGATTAGCTCCATTGCTTGCCTGCAGCCAAAAGTTCCAGCTGCTGTTTGTTCACCGATCCTGTTGGTTGGTATTTTTTATTGAAGAGAAGTGCCAAACTCTTTGTCCACTTTCCTTGCCTCCCTATCAGTAGAGTACTGGCAAGCAGCTTCCTTGCACGGGGAAGGACAAATCTGTCTGATTAATTCTGCCCCTTTAACTCTAAATAAAGGTTGCTATGTTACTCTCCAACTTTGAGGCCTGCCAGAGCACACACCATCCATAATGCCACAGCAGGCGGCTGGTGAATGGAGACTTTTTAAAATATGCCTCTCCTGCTGTGTTCTTGCTGTTAGCCAAGCCTTCTGGCTGTGTAGGAGGATGTTGGATATGATTTCATGAAACAGAGCTATAGTTGGTTAATTTCTAGGCTGAGCACTAGTTTCTTTTCCCATAAGCTGGCACCTTGGCATGTGGAGGGGAGAGAGAAATTCATTTGATTTGCATTTATCTGCACACTGTCCTAACTTGTCCTTCCAGAGCCAAAGTATGAAACAAAATGGAGTTGGTATGCAAAATCATGATCTTTTTAAACAGCAAAGCCTTACACAATATCACAAACACAAAATATGCTATATACTAATAAGGACTTGCAAAAAATTGATTTTCAAAAATCCATATATTAGTGTTCTGTACAAAAGTCCTTAGTTTTAGAAAAAATGTAGCTGAAAGGATAGGTATGATTTTTCTAAAAAGGTTGCAAAGCTAAGGATGGGGAAATAAGAAGAACTCAACTGCCCAACTGAAATGGAAGGTTCACCCTTATTTATTTGCTATCTGAATGAGGCATTTTTGTTAAAAAAATCTACTTCATATTAAAATTATTTTGTGCTATAAATGTTTTGCTTTATAACAAAGATTTTGTTTGATAGTGCTGAAATCCCTCTTAATACAAGACAGGGCTAAGTAATACTACTTGTCTCACAAAGTGTAGAAAACTCTTTTTATAGCAAAAATCTCCAAAGGTTTTTATATTTGGGAAAGTGTCATGGCTGCCATTGCAAATACCCATTTATAGAAGATCTCCCCTGCTTTGTTTGACAAGAAATGAAATATGTATTTTCTAAAAGGCCAACTGGTAAGGCTAAAATAAAAGTAAGTTGTCCAGGAACTTGAGCTTCTCCATTTAAAATATTGTTTGGTTACACTGTTTTCTTGTTTTGAATGTATAAACAGTTATGCATAAATAGTAATTATGCATTCAAACTGGCAAACAATGTGTTTGACTCTGCACCAAATAGAGGAGTCAACTTCTGTTCACTTGAGATTGATTGAAACGTATAATATGGAGGGGGGTATCTAAATTTTAGGAAGCACCTGTATTAAGATAGTTACAGGAGGTATAAAATTAAAAAAAACCCTTCACTGTTGCCAGACATTCTATATGATATAGAACTGGAAAAGAGAATGTCAATATTGGACTATTCAGTCTCAATAATTTAGATTTCAGATTGCTTAATTCCTCCCTCTGTCCAGCAGATTCAACTTGCTAAAGAATGTACTCTCATATTGACCCTCAGAATTTACAACCAATTACTTTTGTGACTTTTAAAACAGAAACATATATTTTTATTTCAAAACCCAAGAGAGAGAATGGATAACTTAGTTGTCCACTATGCCATCTTCTGCTACACTTGTATGTAAAAACATCCATATTATTAGGATTTTATTTTTCTCTGAAAATGTGTTTGTAGATTAACTGATAGGCAGAATTGCAGACGTAGTTGGCAAAACTGAATCAGAGTAACGTAACTGCAAAAGTTTACAGATATAAAATATACATATTTGGAAAATATATTGAGGTGAGAAAAAAATGCAACAGTTTAGGTCTCTAAACCAAATGATTGTATAAACATTCATAAAATGCTAACTAATGTACTTGTAGGTTTTATTTTACAGCCACCATTAGTAGCATGTAATTGTATGCTATTATAATTACATATTATTAGAATTATAACCTGAAAAACTGTAGCACTTTGGGGCAAATTAGAATTCGGCATTCCTAGCATTAATGCTCAATAGCATGCTTTTATGTAATTTTTTAAAAAAGGAAAACTTTTTCAGCAATACAACAACCATTATTTAAAAGATTTTAGTGGGTCCATAAAGAAATGCATGTATATATATTTGTGTATATATAACAGCTTATGCCATAACTAGTTAGGCTTATGTATACCCTCAAGGAAGGCATTTTATAGATCAATGAAGTGAGCTCTAGTCCATGAAAAATTGTGCTATAATAAATCAATTAGATTTAAAGTGCTACAATAGATCAACAAGTTTGTTTCTCCACATGCCGCTTCTTGTATGACTTTATTCCAGCTTTGACTCAGCCTATCTCTCCTGTCTCTTGGTACAGTTTATTGCACAAGTCAAATCAATAACACCCCCACCTTTTTCTTTAAAAGTAATGTTCCTATTGCATCAGGAAGCAGCCTCTTGGCTAGAGCTGAGTAAAAATACTCTAAGGTTCATGCAAGCAGTATCCTTTATATTGTAATCAAAGAATATTTAAATGTGTAATTTGACCAGGCTGTCAAACTGCTGAGTTGTACCTTCTGTTAAAATGAAATGTCTCTTCCAAGACTAGGAAGGAAGGAATGGTACAGATAATCTGACGGACCTTTTTCCATCAGACAAAAAGATTTGACTTGGCTCAGTCATACAGAAGAACTTAAAGTTCACAACCTCTTAAATCAAAACCCATTAAGGAATGTGCATAGGTGAAGGAGTGAAATCCTGGATACAGTGACCATCTCATGACAACATGATTCTGAAGTGTAAGAGGTCACTTCTAGACAAAAGAGCTGCTAATTGTTTGTTAAAAATCCAAATCCTTTGTAAAAAGACTAGCGTCCAAAATGGTTAAGCTAGTGCTGAGTTGGTAATGAGGTGGGAAAAAAGGAAAAGAATAAGCAATGTGTTTAAATTTTAATCTGGTTATACCCAAAGTTCAATTCTCTTCAAAGAATGCTGATCCAGCTTTTGTAAAATAAAGCTGCTGCTAGAAAAAAAATGAGAGAAGTAGATGTTTTGGTTTGATTACTTTTTATCATCTGATTGACAATTTTGTTCCAGTAATTATTATTGGATTTTTATTTCATCTTTATATATACAGTAAAGCAAGCAATGGCTTATTTTCTTCTGTCCTTCAGATAGGCTGGACAATAATTCCCCTCATACTCCTGCCCCATGCAGAGTATCATTCTGTTAAGACTACGTAAATTTATTGTAATTTATAACTAATAAGGCTGTTACTGCTAAGTCATTATAACTGAGCTTTTAAAAAAATAGTTCCTTAATTCATTTCCACGACCTTCTAACATTAATGAAAGCATTTAAGCAAAGACACTAAATTGTGAGAAGATTTTTGATGAAAAGATTTTGTGTAGTTTTGATGGTCTAGTGTAGGATAGAAAGTTGGGGATGGATCAATAATTATTTTCTAGTACTGATTCTGTAATTGCTCTTCTCTTATTGAATAAATACAAAAATATAAATATACACTGAAGGGAATTTTCTAGTACTATAAAGTACCTAGTAACCTTTAAACCAAAATATCACATATAATAAGAAAGTTTAACTTTCAGTCACGATTTAACTACTGTCAGGACTTCATTCATATTATATACATATTATGTATTTAACACATATTTTCTGCTTTCCTTTCTTCAACCTTTTTAAAGATTTTGATGTATTACTAATTTACTATTATAAAGCTTTTGAATCGCTTCAGTTGTGATATATTACTTCCGAGTTCCACAACATTTTTGGCTTTGCAGACCGGTGGGGGGGGGGAGAGAGAATGGTTCTGCACGCACAGCACCATTTGCGTGAGCGGTGGGCGCATGTGCTTACCCACTGCTTGTGTGAATGGGGATGTGCTCACTTACCCGCCACTTCCACGGTTCCAAAAGACTCACGGCCTGGTAGTGGGCTGCTGCCCAGGGGTTGGTGACCCCTGTTGTAATTTAACAAATGGATAATGGATGATCACTTCCCCACATGCTGTCATTCATTTATCCTATGGGAACTGGTAATTATCTCTTTCTTCTTTTCTATGCAGCATATCAACAGCAGTCGGCCCTCACCCCACTTTGTGTATGATCCATCGATTTTTGCCTTCCAATCCCTGAGCACCTTGAAGCCTTTGAGCCCAATAGCTCCAGTTGAAGAACCATCATGTGCCTACTGAACAATGTACTCAAAAGTCTCAGGAATCATCATATCAACCAGCTGCCCAAGGGACATGGAGGGCACATATCTGCAATAGGTTCCAGGATCCTTGGTATCAGGAGATTGGTGTCTTGACTCTTGTCTGTTTTACATGCCATAATAATTTCTGAAGATTGTCAGAAAGGAAATGTATGTGCATCAACCAAGCTAGGCACATAAATTGCGATGCAACTATCAAGATACTATTGATTCACGGAAGGCTGGTTTCTTATAAATGGAGTGAGCATATTACCCTTATAACTGATCTTCAGTGAGTGGTAGCATTTAGCCAACCTTGACTTATTTCAGAAGCTAAACTGGGTAAGGCCTGGTTAATATGTAGAACCACCTGGGCAGTTCAAAGCTGTTAGCTGGATTGGTAAACAGGAAAGAAATCCCAGTCCACAGTAGGGGAAGGACATCACAAACCAATTCCATAACATTGCCAAGAAAATAGCATGGATGCAGTCCTAGGAGTTGAGCTCAGCTTGAGAGCATCTTCACAATATATTATAAATGAGCAACTGCCCATGTGCTAAATCCCCAGCAGTAAGCAGCTTTCTTGTACTTTATCTAAGAGAATTATTCCTTGTATGTAGGAATGTTCAGTACATTAGGATTTATCCAGGAATTGGAAGGATCTCTGCTTTTAGTATGAGTCTGAAAGACTAGAAACATACGATCTTCATCTCCCAGGGTAGGTAAACTTATTTGGTTTTGTGCCATCAAGTTATAAGGTAGAGCAAGAAGCTTACTGAGCTGTGCAGCAACTGAATTGCTTTGAAATTAGTAGAGTATGAAGTTAAAGAGACAACTGTATATTTTGTTCAGCACAAATAGAATTAGAGCTCTACAGAGTCTTAGGATATACAGTAACTGGATAGATATTTGCAGGTAGAAGAATAAATGAGAAGTTATAATTTCCTTTGACTTGTCTGGGTATCCTTTATAAAGCCATGTGAATGTCACATGTTCTTTTAGTGAAGTTGGAATGAATTCTGCAATGATTGGTTTGCACATCCAACAACATATCTTATAGGATCCACTTTAAACAACTTATGAAATTGTAACAAAAGCAGAAATAGGTCTATAAGTTCTGTTTGATGTATAACCCACTGGTTTAGGTGGATGTTATGTTAGACATAAATATGTGGAAGGAAATACTTCATCATGATCTGTCTTTTTAATTTTGTTTTGTGCTGGTAGGAGTAAAGGGCAAAGCAGAAAAAAGGCATGTTTTAATAAGAGCAACTTTACAGAAGCAGCCATATATTTCAAGCTCAGCTCTTCTCTACACATTGGTGATAGTTTCTGCTTTGCATTGACATCTGAGATACCAATTATTCGGGTAATCAGTTGGCCCAATTCTACAGGTTTTTGTGCTAACCCAATGAAGCTTATATTTTGAGATTTAGGAAATTAAGTTTTAACAATGTGCTATATTGTCTTCTCTATACAGTATATGTCAAAGGCATTTCAGTCTCAACTTGTATACTAATCATATGAAGAACAGTGTAGAAAGAACTCCTGTGTTATATATTTTTTAATTAAAGAATAATGGAAACTATAACTTGACCACTGTTTTGAAAACGTTTGTGCTGTCTTCTACAATTAAAAATGTAGACTGTCGGAGTTGAAAAAGATGGCTCAAATGTGGGTAAAATAGCCAACAGCTGTGAGGTTCTTTTTATCATTGGACTCTTAAGGCCAGAAGCTTTCTAGTCAGAATGAATTAACTCAGCTGCTTTTAATCCTAGCAGCAAATATGTTGGGTTTATAAAACCTGGTGGCAAAAGCATAAGAATAAAGTAATAGGTGAGTTATTTCTTTTCTATACCAGTCTATATAAGAAGAAATCAGGGATGGATGGGCACAATCCTTCTTAAACCACTAAGTAAATAAAAGGTAAGATTATATTCTTAATTGGTTTATTGAGAACAAGGTCAAAATTGACATGCAACAAAATAGTTTTTCTTTTTTAAAGCAATTGTTCTTTTCTTCTAGTTGAAAGAGGGGAAGTTCCTTTTTATCTTCTAATCCTAAAGATGACTTTTTTTTAATAGGTTAGTGCACATGTTGAAGATCTATAATCCGAAAGGATTTGGCCTTCCTATAGTAATGATAAGGGGAGTTTTCTGTTTTGGCAGATTAGACTTGACCTACAAACCACCAGCACCTGTCATAGTCAGGATAATTTGGAATGTGTTTTCATGCATATAAAGCTGCCCTCGCTTTGTTCCATAGATACTGCAGAATGTTTGGGGGGGGGAATTGGAGGTTTGCTGACTGATCTAGAAGATATTGTTCTGATACTCTAAGGGGTGTCAAATTTGCAATATCATGTGACGTGTTGCGATGTATTGCAACTTTTTTGCCATTGCCGGCAATGGGGTGGGCATGGTTTCGGTATGATGCATCTGGCCCGTGGACCGGCAGTTTGACACCCCTGCTCTAAGATGAAGGTCTGGAAAGGGAGATGACTGCTGATGAAGTGCTTCTCTTTAATACTTTTGTAACATTTCTGTCTTTGGTTTTTAATGAGGAAAAATAAAGTTATATTTTAACTGCTGTTATTGTCCTTCCTGTTTGCTCTCCCTTTGCTCTTACCTTAATTCTAAGGCCCTAAGGAAATTCAAAGCATTTTTAATGTTACTATTTCATAGCAGACTATACCTTTGCATTCCACATTAAAATATTTTCATCCCTCAAGAAGAAAACACAAAGTTACTTGAATCTCTTCTGCAAACTTTGTAGGCATGAATTTTGCAACCTTAGCTCAAATAGAAAAACAGATTCTTGCCTGTCCCACAGTTTAGTTAACATCTTTTCCTAGCCAACTTTATATGAGCAACAATCTTTGTCCTACCACCACTGAAAAATGAATGAGAATTACAGTCTTACATAGCTACATTTGTAACCTTTTCACAGAATCATGATGAGATCATAGTAAGTGAATGAATTTTGCAGTGTCCATGTAACAGGATATTTATAGGACCTGATGGAGGCTACTTTGTGGTGAAGAATGTTATAGGGAATATTTCTGCTAAGAAAGCTATATTGATAGGGAGGCAAGCACAAGATGCTCTCAAAACAAGGTGGTTTATTTACTGTTTTATATACTACCAACTTTGGACATTCTAGAAGGTTTACAGTGAATGGTGTATAGGAATAGGTGTATAAAACAGTCCCATATATTCACACAACTTCATTGAGCAGAAGTTGACTAGACATTTCCTGCAAATGCAGGGTCCATTTTTTTTTAATTTTATCAATGGAGAGTTGATTCATTGGTTGCAACAGAATTGATCAACTGGCTTGTCACCTGAGCCTGACATCATTGGTTGAGAGAAAGTGACTGGCCTAAAGTCACCCAGCCAGCTTTCATGCCTGAGGTAGGACCAGAGCTTGCATTCCTGGTTTCTAGCCTGGTACCTTAACCACTACACCAAACTGGATAATTCAAATCCCATAAAACCAAACCAGGTGGAAAAAAGGCAGCCTAGCACATCCATCTATTGACACAGTGTCTGCCAGAAGAAGATGACTTTATCCCCTTCTTGAAAGTAAGTTAGTGCTTAGTAAATGAGAGGCTCCCACCACCATCAACATAACTTCTTGGGAAGAATGCAATACCAGTGTATCCAATCAGCAATGTTTTTGTAAATAATGTCACAGGGACTGAGTCCCATAGAGCTTTGTAGCTGGAAATTAGCAGACTGAATTGAGCCTATCAAATAATTGATAGTGCTAAATCTTATGCATTCTGGTTGTTACATTTTCATGCGTCATCATTACCACTTTTTGCTCTGCTGTCATCTAGTGGAACTCAAAATGGTATACATAAGATTCCCAGGAAATCTCCCATGTAATGACCAAATCTCAATTTGCTTAGTTTCAAATGAGGCTACAGCTTGACATTCCATGTTCCATTCATGCTGAGGGAAGCTGTCTTAGATTATTGTTGAGAGATTGCTCTAGTAGTACTAACTTGACACAGCTGGCTAAAAGTTGAGTTTGTGGTTGAACAGCCAAGAGCAATTTTTATAACTTGACTGTAAATCCTCATCCTGTTGTTTCTTGACTAGAATCATGCAGGTGTTTCCCCTCAAAGATGAAAGCAGATTATTTAGACTATAAAAATCCACAGAGAGATACTCAAGCAGTTATGTTTTTCAAGTTGCAGTCTGGGGGGTATTGGGAACATTCTAGAAGTTAAAAAATCCATATGAAGTTGCTCAGCCTTGGTGAACTGGACTTCAGTTACCCAAAATGTCCTAGATAAGACATTGCTCTTTTTTTTTTTTATCTGCCTCAACAATGTCATTTGGTTAAATTGGTAAGTAAGGTATACTTTAGTGCAGGGGCAGGAAATCTGAAGATCTTGAGTGCTTAGACTTAAACTCTTAAGGTAATATGGTTTGTGAATGTTTTTGCATATGAGACATTCTTTTCAATTGTATGAAACTAGTATCACAGCAGGCATGAAATGGGAAATAGGCATCTAGGAATGGGAAATTTTCAACAATGGATGGGCAAACAACTCTTCTGAGGTTCCTGGAAGACAACAGGGTACAACTAGTTTGCAAAATTCTATGCAGGTACAATAAACACATGTAAAAATCAATCCCATATTCCTTGAATTGTTTCTATGTCTGGATTGCTTGAATATGAAGGTACATTTTTTCATAGTTACACTTACACACACAAGAAAGGTGTGAGTGTATATCCTGTACAGTTGGTCAAGTGATCTTCAAGGGAAAGACAAAGATAAGTGGATTAATCAATCAAAACAGGGAACCAATATTCTCTTTTGGGCCATATCAATTAGGGCTATATGGCTTCTTTTCTCAAGAAGGGATACCATCCAGTCTTGCCAAGGCATTTTAATTTGAAAGCCTTTCTATATGCTCAGTTTCTATGATTACATGGCAGTGGGGAAGGCTCACCCTACTGTGGAGAGCCTACAAATCTAAGGTGTGCTCACACTCAGTTTTTTAATAAACTCTGTGATAACCAATCAGCCTTATATAAACCTTGAATGGGCAGACAACCTTAAAATCAAAGATCATTTGCAATCCTTCTATACTGAGAGCATATTTCTGCCTCCTGCTCTTATTGTTGTGGTCTCTCTTAACGAATTCCTGCCTGCAATCACTTTATAGCTCAAAAGCTATGTAGGGGGGCTGTTTTGTTTCTTTCATGTAGAACTACTAATCGAGCCAATTATGTTCCTGGATTGAGAGCAAGTCATTTTAGCAGTTATACCAAAGAACAATAGAGAGTTGTTTTTTCCTAGGATTATTAGCATGTCCTAGCCTTCGTGTCCTTGGACTTTGATCTACAATAGCAGCTAAGCCCAAATGCAGTACCAGACGCAAACTTACCAACTGCACCTATTGCCCTGGCACAATAGCTTCTCTCCCTCTGAGATGCTAAATGTTAACTCAGAATCTCCTATCTTCTCCTGCTACTCAGGGAGTTGTCATTTAATATGAGCTTTTCCTTAGTTGCACTTCTAATGACTAAAGATATTTATCTGCCACTTGGCATTCCTGGCAACCTCTTTTTAAAATGCTTCTTGCTAAGCTGCATCTTGTTTAACAATGCTTTGTTAATAAACAAAGCAAAGCAATAAGTCACAATTGGCTGGATTCCTGTAACATCCTAGACCTGCCATATGAGTTGGACTTCCAAGTCCCAGAATTCCTGATGAACTCTGTACTTAGTCGTGTAAATATGGATATGTAGAAAAAGCCACTGGGAAGCTGAAATATAAAGATGATGGTATCAAAATACTTCAGTCATCCCTCCTCCATCCAGCCTTTCTCAATTTGACGGGGGAATTTGTTTTATAATTTTACCCCAAAAGAGATAAATAGCTATTACAAAGAGCCGGAGTGGCGCAGTGGTTAGAATACAGTATTGCAGGCTAACTTACTGCTCACTGCCAGGAGTTCAATTCTGACCTGCTCAAGGTTGACTCAGCCTTCCATCCTTCTGAGGTTGGTAAAATGAGGACCCAGATTGTTGGGGGCCATTTGTTCACTCTAAACTGCTTAGAGAGGGCTGTAAAGCACTATGAAGTGGTATATAAGTCTAAGTGCTATTGCTATTGCTATTCTCCTAATGGGGACTATGTTCTTGCTGTTACTTTACTGTTATGGGAGTTAAAGATGCTAGTGTCCTGCCTTTCAGTGTCTGGTGGTCTCATCAAGGGTCTGAAATTTTTCTGATTTCCAAGCTTCAGTTAAGCTCTGTTCTTCAGGTCTGGAAACAGGAGGAGCCAGGAAGGCTATAGTGCAGAGGTGTCAAACTGCCGGCCGATAGGCCGGATGCGTCACAAGGAAACCGCGCCCATCCCATTGCCGGCAATGGGAAAAAGCTCCGATACATCACGTGACGTCGCGAGTTTGATATGTCTGCTGTAGTGCAATCGAATGAAATGTAACAAATTAACACCAACAGGACTCTATGCTACACACACACACACACACACACACACAAACACAAATTAAAAGTTTGGTTGCATAGAGAATCAGGGAGATAACCTTGAGACAAATGTGTAAGAAAAGTTACTGGGGTAAAGGTAACGGATGAAACATTTTTAAGTCCTGCAAAACAAGATAATATTTGGAATCAGGACAAACACTTTCCTGGTTCACTGGGATATAAGAGGGAGAGAGGATAAAGCATAACCAAGCTTGCAAAATTCTGTTCTTAGAGTCTATCTCAATATAGTTTTAGTCTTCCGGTAGAATCATTTTCCTGATCTGGTCTACTTTGAAGCACTGATAAGTTGAGAGGCAGCCTGATGGACATTCAGGAACATTTGATTGCCTACAGATACAACACTGCCTCTCTCTAAGACAGAGAAGAGAAATAGACTCTTTTCAACAGAGAATAACATTTTAGGAATTTGAAAGATGGGTTTCTGTCCAATGTTGAATATAAACTGTGTATTATGAAAATCAGTCAAGTGCAACAGTTGGCTTCTAATATAAGGGTTGCTTCCAGCTACTGTCTCTCAGTCTGAACCACTTCATGTTCTTCCAGTTGTCTGCAAATATTGGATAGAAGCTTTTGACAATTTCAGAAAAAGCCTTTAGCTCTGCTTTTTCTCCTCAAGTTAACATCTCCTTTGAAAGATTTAAAAGAGTCACTTTGTGGTGAGATGGGTGGCAAATTAAATAAATAAATAAGTAAATAAATAAATAAGTAAACAAATAAATAAATAAATTGCTGGTGATTATATTAGCATAGGAATGAGCCAAAGAAGGCTTCTTATGATTATGTTTCCCAAGTTGTATTCTCATGAATATGTGAATAGAGATCA